CTATTATTTTTGCACTGATGTCTTACCACGGACATTTTATTGCAACGTACTGTATGTTTCTTCTTGTTGGTCTGTAAAGATTCAGTGGCACACAAATTTAATAGATAGATACATAAAGAAAGAGGCCCCGGTTCTGTGTGCGGGCAGCATTAGGATTTTTCGCCTTTGGGAAGAGCACAAGTTGTTGCTTTTCAAACATACGAAGCCTATTAAATAGCTCACAGTACACTTTTTGTTCATCCTCCCTCTCACAATGGCAGAAATCACCACCGATTTTTGGCAATCATGCTGACAAAACGTGGCAGGGCAGCGGGGTCAGAGAGATCCCTGCAGGCAGCAGAAGAGGAGATAAAGACTTTGCTCTGCCCTGGGGCTACATCTTGGCATGAATGGTGAAGGTAATACATTAATTATCACTGCATTTTTAACACCTGGCGGCAGGAGAAGCAGTAAAATGCTGGCTTGGGTGCCAGATGAGAGGAGATCGTCCAGAACCTTCCCCAGCACCAGCAAACCAACTCTCCAAATATTCCAGACTCTCTTCCTCTATATGTCCCTCCCTCCCATATTTTTATACGTATAAAACTAGTTACACTCCACTGATTATACTGTTCTTGCCAGACCCGAGCTTTTGCCTTACTCTGCAACTGGGTGGAGAACATTTATTCAGTTTCTTAGATTTATAGCCTGCCTTTCCTCCACCATCTCAAGAGAGCATACACAGCACACTCCCTTCCAATAAGTCCATGCAACAACCATGCTGTCAGGAGGGAATATTTTCTCTCCCAGGAACATGAGAAAGAGAGAGGAGTGAAAAAAGCATGCTAGTGTGGACATGGATGTCTACCCATGAGGAATGGGCACTTATGCCTTGATTTCCCCACCCTCCCTTGCCCCACCTGTGCCATGTCCACATGTCCCAGCATCACCCAGCTGAGCTCAACCAGTTTTCACTTGGACTGATCTCAACAAGGTTTTTGTGCACTTCATAGTCAGCACCGGTTAGGGTTTTTTGGGTCACGTTCTAATGTCATATTCTGCTTTGGCAAGGAGCTGGGTTTTCCACATGGAAAACTGGGAACAGTCATGCTTATCCTGCACCTCAATGCTTCTGAAGCACTTCAGAATATGAAGTGTATCTTCATGTAAAGAAAGCTTGGTCCTTTGTCACATGAGGAAAAGGACAATAGGAACAAAACCTACCACTATTTGACTGGGGCACAATATGTCTTCCAGAGGATTCTTCTATTTTCAGATCCTCTCCATCAAAACTCACCTAGTGTAGGTGTTAAAGTTATTTATTCTATTTCTGTAAGCATCACTCTTCCACCAAAGGATTACGGTGAGGTATACAATGGCGTATCATATATAATCTCCACCACCACCACCCACAACTTTTCTTCTCACAACAACCCTTGCAAAGTTTCTTAATGCTTTTTCCATACGAATATTGATTTGAAAAAGAGATGGCACAGTGTGTTTCAGGCACATACAAAGCCAGTGGTGGAGCTTACCAAAAACAGTTCTGGCAGGAACAGATTCTTTATTAATCCAAAACGACACCTGGGAGAGGATCACCGTCATGATGCACGGAATATATGTCTGTATCATAAAATACCCCATTTTCCTTCGGAGATGAAAGTGTACTGTCATGACCACATATTCACCTTAAAAAACAAAGTAAAACAAAAGCAGAAAATCAATACTTTTCACCCCGTATCCCTTGACCAAAGAAACAATATAAAAAGAAAAAAATATATCAGAAAAGAAGATCTCCAGTGATTTCATCTGTAGACATCCTAAAATCACAGGAAGCTAAAGTGAAATAGGTCATATCTTGTACTGCAGCTTTCTGGAAGCCCCAGCTAAATCACTTTTATCTCTGTGAAGGAAATGAGGGATATAGAGTAATCCAGGCATGACAAGCTAAGCCCAAGGAATGGTAACAGATCTTAAAACAAAGAATAAATAAGAACCAAGCAGTACAGTTTGATATCCCTCAGGTCGGCCTTCCACAAGGAGGTGCCCTCCAAATGCTTTGAAATAAAACTCTCTGGCAGGCCCATCTATGCCAGTGGGTAACAGGAAGGAAGAAGGTCTGGACTGTTGAAGGCTTCAGAAAGGCTGCTTGGGGCTTTGTAATTCTCCAGAAAGGCTGCTTGGGGCTTTAGATCTTCTATAGACTGACTTAACGTAGATCACAGCAGCATTGCCACCATACCAATATATAGTCATGCAAGCCCTTAAAAGCATCTTTGGACTAAAAGTCGGTTCCCCATATTAGACATGGCAAGGGCTTCCACTGAATTAAAGGGATAAAAGTCAGCACACCAAATTGCTGATAACCAGCGAAAGCTGGGAAAGGTTGTATATTATCCAACTCAGCAATTCCCAACAAAACCTTGGCAATCCCATTTTGAAACATAGGCCTTCAGTAACAGCCTCACAGCACAGAGGCTGTCATTGCCCCAAATATCTTCTCGTTCCATTAGAT